TCCGTGCTGCCTTGTCTTCTCCGGCCTGGCCCGGAGCTGGGCTGGGTGCCATGGGCCTGCCAGGCCTCTCTGGGGATAACGGGCCTCCCTGGACGAGGGACACATATATCTGGGCCGAGTCTGAGGAGTGCGGGTCCGGCAGGGTGCTAGAACGGGCACAGAGACCGCACGGGAGGCTTCTGGTCCCCTTGGCTGAGTCGATGGAGACGTTTTGCTGGCAGTGGATCTCTAATTTGAAAGTGACTTTGTATTTCACCCTCTCTGAGATCACTGAGCTTAGATCTTTCTGTTTGGGAGGGCGTTTAAGCTGGAAATCCGAGCATCAGCATTTACAGCGTGGCGTGGCGTCCTGTGGGAAAACCATGGGTAAATTCCTAGGCTTTGGTGTATTTTCCCTGAGTGTTAATGCTGACAGGGGATTTGGTGATGAGTGTCAGAAGAACTAATTGTGTTCATTTGACCAGGGCAAAATGGTGGAAGGAGTTCTGGGTTGTTCTTATCCTGGGTATGAGTCCTAAGGGTTTGTCTTGCAGGAAACAGATGAAAGCTAATTTAGATAGATGGCATTTATAAACCACACAAAGATACTGCATCAGTTAGCTAAATCAATTTCTAAGTTGCTGTTTCAGCTGTTACCTTTTTCTTGGCTGCAGAAAGTTTGCCCGGTGTTCTGGTTCTGTCTGAATTACCCAGATGATCACATGAAAAGGAGCTGAATGTCATTCTTTCTGCATTGGGATTTTTCTGAAGTTAGGGCAGCGCTCTGCACATCTGGGAAAGTCCTTTGAATGTTGTTTAGGAGTTTCTGAAATGGGGGGTAAGGATACTCATGGTTTTATTAAGCCTAAGTAAAAGCTGGTCAAGCAATTTGATACTGCATGTGAGGAAGGTGCAAGTCATCACCACAAATGCAAACCTTTCACAGATGGCTTGAAAACTACTATTGTGCCATATATAGCCTGGGTTTGCAGGAGCAATGTCCTAAAATATAAGTGTGCTGGAATTTTTCTGCACATTTGTTTGTCCAATACATATTTCTGTCACCAGTAGGTGGCTTTCTACCCATTTGTGTGCATTGTTACTATCTCAAACCCCAGCATGCAAGCGCAGCACTCGGTTTGAAACAGCCTCAAGGTAGAAAGTCTGAGGCATAATTACAGTACCTTAATCTCCTGGACTACCTCAACAAAGCAGCCTTCAGTTTACCAGAAGGACAGTGAATACTGAGAAGATAGTAATGTTCATATTACGGATTCATAAATTGTGCTCAACAACCAAATATTCGTATCTAACAAATTATGATGTCTGCGCATAGGGATATACTGAACATAGTTAGCATCCACCATATAGCCCTGCTCATGTGCCCAAAACGCTCACTCTAGTGGCTCCTGGTTTAAAAAAACAATGACAACAAATAAAACAAGCCTGTGCCTCACCAAAAGGCTCAGAACCCATAAGGCAACAGGTACCTCGTAGCCCCAGTGTGGTAACAGTAGTTCATACGCTTCTGGATGAAGGCTAGGTCTGAATTAAAGAAAGGATCGTGAGGGTGTAGGTCTGGGGTTTGGTTCTCAATTAAAAGCCTGCAGTACTCTTGAGTGGTGCTGTCTGCCTGCAGACATCAATCAGCTTTACTGCTACATCAGACTTGACTTTACATCAGACATCAGCTTTACTGCCACATCTCCTTTACGTGTCCAGAGATTCTTGATTCTCTGGCGTTGGGTTGGATTTATCATGTATGAGAAGGTTTGTCTGGGACACGGGTTTAGAGCTGTAGCCTAACCAAGCTGAGCGTCACATTGAGAATCTCAACAGGACCTTCCCCGCCCTTTGTATGAAGGGACTTGGGTCTGGGATGGATACAAGCAATGTAAATAAATAATGGTTTGCACAAACTTCAACGGCCTACTCTTACAAGTCTGTGTTCTTCTTTACTTGCCATTTACTTACTGATCTGTAAGGCTCAACGGCTGCTGAAGTGCTGTATGGATGGCATCCTGGAGCATGACGGTATTGACAGCTTGCTGTGTTTGTGTTCGTGAGTACTTTTTGGGTTCAGTCCATGTCAGCTGTGGTAAGTTGGGGCTCCTGACATGCCACAGATAAGGAGCTGTTCCTTGCTGACGCCTCTTGGGCTTTTTATCTCTCTGAGTTTTTATTCCTGCACCCCAACACCTCCTTTTCTATTGGTTTGAGGTTACTGGAACATTTTTATAGAAAAAAATATTAATGTGTTTGTGCTTAATGTGGTCTAGTGCACAATGTCTTCTAATTACCGCAACTTCCGAAACAACGTGCCGTGGCTAATCCTTTTTCTTGAAGCTGTTTTCATCGTCCTCTTTTTGTTCTCAAAAGATTACTCATCCAGAACAAGCATCTCCTACCCAGGTAAGACTGGCAGCCTTGCTGTGAAAGGAAGGGTTAATGTCTGCTTTTATTTTGCAGTCCAGTCGAGATGGGATTCGGCAGATTTGTGTATTTGTTAGTGAGAAGTAGAATGCTTTTAGTGCCCTTTAGGTACCCTACCTCGGCATGTATGGTGTGTATTATACCAAAGCAATGACAGTGAACAAAGACATAAGCGATGCTAATTTGCATTGCTGCTCTGTTTTCTGCTGCCTGTTTGTGGTAAGCTTGACTCCTATGAACGCAAGAAACTTCTGAGGGCAGGTGCTGCTCTGTGGTAAGTGCCTACCTCCTGTGAGGTATCGGCATGCGACTGCGTTGTGCTACAAAGAATTCAGGGTGGCAGTATTTTCCGTTTGAATGCTTGATGTAAAAAGATGAAGTTAATACAGTGGAATTAAGGGGTTAAAGACATTCTGGAGATGTGTTTTATGCATTGACCAAAGGAACGTATTGGCAGATTATGCTATGGCCATAGCGTGTAATGTATTTAGTGTTGTGCAGATATGAGCTGATTAATCCTCATGACATTCTCGTGTTACCCTCTCTGGTTTATAGCTCGAAAAATGAGATCTGCTTACTAGCAGTTTGATTTTTTGCTGTAGGTACAGGCCGGCACAACCATATGAGAATATGTTAGCACGTCCCAGGGGATGTTTCCAGGCCTACAGATCCAAGATCTTATGTCTTGGACAGCCTCTACCTTTTATGCAATGGTGCTGGTTTCCATATTAAACTTTTTCTGCTGCTATTTCTGTTCCTTCTACCCAGATGAGGACATCATACAGGTTTCTCTTTGTAACTCGTTTCCTCCCTAACACCCTCAAGGAATGAATCAGTACTAATTCACAGTGACTCTCCCTGAAAAGTCCAACTTAAGCTCTTTAAATTCACCTCAGGAAAAATGAATGTCCAAATTTCATTGCTAAGCATACTTCACTTCTGCTGTGCTTTTTGACCCCTCAACCCCCATCCTATGGTATCCCTTCTGATCACTTTATAAAATTAAATTCAGGGTCAAGGGTATTGTTTTTCTGATTACTTATGGATTAGAAAGAAAGCTCTGGAATTGTTTACAAGTACTAAATAATAATGGCGCTTGAATTTTTGTCTGAAGGCTTTTTTTGTTAATTGTGATCTTTTTATTTATTTTTTTAACCAGAAATCCAGTCTGCATTAATAAATTCACTGCTGTCTTGGTGTTTTCTTTCATGCAGCTTTTCAAGATGTCAACCACATGGTGATTTTTGGATTTGGCTTTTTCCTGACGTTTCTGAAAAGATATGGTTTTAGCAGCACTGGATTCAACCTCCTGATCGTTGTACTTGGTGTCCAATGCTCTATGCTGGTAGAAAATTTATTAGATTTCCTTCTTCAAAGATACATGGATTGTGGTCTGAAAAGGTAATTAGTTCGTGTTAGAATTAGAATAATCTGGAGCTGCTGGTTGCTCTTTGTGGAGGATAATGCCTTGTTATACGGACCTATTTGCTAATTAGCAAAGTTATATTTGCAGACATTTTAGAAGGCTTTGGGTTTTTAAGTTCATTTTGCTGTCTGTCACTCTTTCTTTATTGGCCCTGGCATGGTCCTGATACAGAATTATTTTTTTTTCTTTCCTTTCTTTTATTGCAGAATAACAAAGGCCACTGTGAGTACGACTGCTGTGGTCATCTCCACTGGAGCTGTTCTTGGGAAAGCCAATCCTGTGCAATTAATTCTGATGACAGTTGTGGAGATAATATTTTTCCATATAAGCAGATGGATCAACCACACATTTCTGCAGGTACTGTAGTATGATTTCCAGGCACGTCGGAGAAAATTTCAGTGGGACTTTGGAATGTGGCCTTTTGGTGGTTTGTTAGTGCTCTGCTGGCAGGAACATCAGTGTGTTTTATCTCATCTCAGTTAGCTTGTGGCTGTGTTGTCACTAAGAGATGAAGTCTGACTTTGGGACTACGCTTAAAGACGTCAAACTCCAAACCCTGCATACTCTATATCTATATAATTGGCTATATCTATATTCCTGGCCTTAAAGGGTGAGCTGATCTGTTGGATTGGGATGTAGTGCATTTGGCTTTCCCCATGCCCTGACACGACACTGGAATGAAAGCCTTGACCTATGCTAAGGCACTAAATTGCCTTTAAAGCCCTCTCCCTGTGTCTGTTCAGACTGGAAGATTTCCAGTGTGAATGGTATCCCAGCCCAGTCTGGGCAGCAGAGTCAGACCTGCGTTTAGCATACAATGTAAACATACCCCAGACTTTCTGTATATGAATTGTGTGTTTATGAGCTGCATTGAACTCAGATAAATTAATCTTGCATAAATAACTCCTGCATAAACTGAGGGAATGTGCAAATAAATTGCTTATAGGGAGGTTACATAAGCAACTATGTGAGGAACTTCATCAAAGGCTTCCTGTGGCCTGAAATAAACCACAAATTTGATTATTCTATTGATACAGATTCCAGACAGTATCGGCATGATGCATGTTCACATGTTTGGAGCCTACTTTGGTCTGGCAGTCTCCTCCCGTTTCTCTGAGCCATCACCAAGGTCTGAGAAGAATGCAAGTACCTCGAAGTCAGATTTATTGTCAGTGTTGGGTAAGGCATTTGCTTTAGCATCTTGGAAGAAGGGGTTGCAGTGAGAACACAAGGAATGTTTCTGGGGGCTGGCCACAGCACACTGAAGCTTTTGCATCCCAAGTGCAGGTCCGAATGCAGCCAAGCATAGAAAACTGCTGCTGCTGTGGTTTGTGGTTTCTGACAATGGGTTGGTGAGTCTCAGCATGTTTCCTACGAGGCATATAAGCCACTCCTGCAACGGCTGTGGCTTAGTTTGCTTTTCTCAGTCTCAGCATAAAGGCTGTGCCAGGTTAACTGTTCCCTCTCCCAGCTAAGCTGTCCCCTTTGGGCTTGTATAGGCACCAACGTTGAGGTTATTACTTGTATTTCAGTAGTGCTTACAGTTCCCAGTTGGGGCCAAGGCTCGGTTTTGTTTTGCAAGGTGCTGTACAGAGATATACAAAGGCAGTCCCTGCCTAGAAATGTAAATGAAAAGATAAAAGCCTGTTGAAGGGTGGGGAATATGATCGAGACAGGCGCACGAGATCTTCTGAGCGATGATAGGCTGAATGTATGGGAGTTCCATTCTTTTTCTTAAAGAAGCAATTTGGTTTCATAGTTATGACTTCTGTTTAACTGCCACCAGCTGAACGCAGATCTTTCTGTGAAGGCCCACAGACTCTAATTCTTGGTCAGTCTTAGCCCAGTTTAGGGAAAGAAAAAAAAAGAGGAATTTAAATGCTGCTCTTTCGAGTCCCTGGAGTTCTTGCTTCGCTGGACAATTTGAGATCAGTATTTTAATCTGACTCATCAAGATACTGTTATGCCTGCGTTATAATTTTAGTAAAGCTTGCAGTACTGCTGAAACCCCCCACACACAAACAGAAGAAATGTGTCCAGACTGTCTGGATAGTCTGCAAGCACTGAACTTGTGAAGAAGCCAGTTCCTCAGGGGATGTTCCTGATAGAAATAGCACTCCACTTGCAGAAAACATTAGCTAGGAACATGACCTGGCCAGATAATACCACTTTGCTGGGAAGCCTGTCAGTTTTTCAGATCAAATCAAGGTTAATGGGCCAAATATCCCATCAGAGAGGCATGGTTATCACCTCCTTGGTGCACTGAAAGGGCAAAAGTTACCAATGGAAATAGGATTTCAAGGAGCCAAGATAAACTTGTACAAAGTAGCTGCCAGGGTTGCTAGAAGCTGGGTTTAACTATTGTGCTTTATAGTGACAATGCTTGTGTCACTTCTTAATTGACTTGAGCAAGAACACTTCAAATTTTACTGACAGGTGAATTGCACAAGGGTCTGGTACCTCTGTGGCATGGAGAACAGAACATTAGCTGTGGAGGTTGACTGGGCAGCAAAAAATAATGACCATACAAGGCAAAATAACCCCTGTTGCTTGTGTGTGTTGTCATCTGTGCACTTAGGGCTAGGAGCAGCTCAGGGAGCAGAGGCACAGCTTGCGGTGTGGGGTCCAGCTTGACTTAGTGTGAGGCCACCTGCTTCCCTCTGCTGGCTGGAATTTGAGCTATGCGTGTGTATCCATATGCACGTAGGAAAAGATGCATCCTGCTGAGCCGTGAACTTGTTTTTATAGAGGCTGAGATTCCTAAATGTTGACAGTTAGGGCCCAGGCCATAGAAGCAGAGGAACCTGTTTTCATTCCTATTGCTAGAGAAGCCTATGCAGTCATGAAAATATGCTACTGTGCAGGGATCTTACAGGAGGAAAGTGAATTGTTCCTTTGGACCCACATACTAGGGAGTAGCTATTCGGTACCTGACTCTTTCATAAATAACAAGAAAGTTAAGCTGTATATAGCTGAACTGGTGAAGCATGATCACCTCGGCTCAAGCTATTGTCTTTAGCCCTCCTCTGGAGTAATCCTAGTAGAGGTAGAGAGGAGTCTGTTCTTACCATCCAGTTCATCCTCTTTTTCTCTTCAAACCTTGCCAGGAGGCAAGACAACCAGTACCAGTCATACTGGCAGCCAAGGTATGCACTTTGGGTGTGCTTCCAAAGAGCCCTTTGGGTTTCTTTATAGCGCTTTATACCATATGAGCTGTTTTTTCTTCCTCCTTGGCTTTCTTTCATTCTCTCTTGCAGCTGGTTTTGAACAGTTTTGACACAGTTCCATGAAAAGGAGCAGAAATTTTGGCTGAGGAGCAAGCCCCTGGTGCCTGTGCAGAACAGGCAGGATGCTGATTGTTTGGAAATCAACAGTGGAATTGTTCGCACTCATATCTGAACCCACGTTTAAGGGGACAATAGATAGGACAAAGCTGATGTTAAAGCTGTTCCTGAGAAGAGCATCCTACCTTCGGCTCTGCGAAGGACCAGCCAGATGCCAGTAGAGCTGTGCTCTGGTTGTGTGTTTGACGTTGCTGTTCCTGGGAAGGCGTTGGTATAGCAGGGAACTCTCAGGCCTGTCTGCACTGTGAAGTGTTATCCTTTGTTTAGAGTGTGGGAATTACAGTGAATGCAAAATGTGGGCTGGAACTCTCCAGGGACAGACGGTGATGGATTCCCCGGGTTTCAGAGCATGTAATGATAGTTGCTTGTCTTTGTCTCCAAGGTATCCTCTTCCTCTGGGTATTTTGGCCAAGCTTCAATTCTGTACTAGCCACGGACAAGCACAAAGCAATCTACAACACCTACTTTGCTCTTGCCGTGAGTGCTGTAACTGCCTGCATATTGTCTGTTCTGACCACAAAGGATGGAAAATTCAGAATGGTAAGATGTGAGAGAAAATCACTGCGTGGAGAAGATATTTTTCTGTTACTCTCAGTAATACACTGGAAGTATAATAGCTATTAAGTAAAAATGAGTCCAGGTTTTCAGCCTGACAGTCATCATTAGCCTCCCAAGCAGAACACAGAAGCTGTAACTTAGAAATTATGTTCTCAGGTTGTTACTTATGGTATAGAGAGGCCCAAATTCACCCTAAAGAGATCGCACTTGCATGAGAACAGCAACCTGTGATCCTGGGCTGCTATAAGTGATGACTGAATTCTCACTCCATGTTTTTGTTGTTTTATTTTACAGAGTGATATCCGCAGTGCAGTACTAGCAGGTGGGGTCACTGTTGGTTATGCATCACACAGTATCAAGTATCCTTGGATTGCAATGATTTTGGGTCTGCTTGCCAGTGCCATAACCATACTAGGATCTTACTGTTCACAGGTAATACTCAAAACCTGAAATTGGTTTTTGTATAAGCTGTATAAACTTCTTTTCCAATGGAGGATGCCTCAAAGGAAACCTCTCTTTCAAAGAGGTTAAAGCTGGGAAACCCGAAGTCTTTTGTGCAGAGCGCAGGACTGCAACTTTCAAGACCAATGTTCATTCTCTGGGTCTGTGACGGACAATATGCTGTTACCAAATTGGGTTCCGGTGTAGCACTTAAACCTTTTCTTCTTCCCAGAGATGCTTGAATCCTGCTCTCAAGATTCACGATACCTCTGGAGTTCATTACACTTTTGGCTTGCCTGGTGTGCTTGGAGCTCTTGCCCACGTCGTTCTCTTAGTAATAGAAAACTGGACTAATTTACCAAGGTACATAAATTCTTGCTATTAAGTAATAAGCTTAGCTAATCATTACTGTAGTATGCCTCAAGAAGAGTTCTGATACATACAGAAAGCCTGAACGTCAACACAGATAAATAATTTTATACCAGGTAACCTAAGATAATCTTGGAAGTCCAAAAAAGCCAGTGAAAAAGACTTTCAGAGTTGAGCAGACTTTGGATCAAAACTTTAATATTAGCTTTTGGTCCTGCTTTCTGTCTCCCTTTTCATTCAGTATTAAATACAGCAGACACAGGAGATGAAGGCTGGGGATGTGCGTCCTTCCAAGACTCATTTTGGGTTTTGTGATGTGTTTTGGTGAGCTTTGTGTGCTGATAGCAGAGGGGCAGAAATCAGCCTTTCTCTTTGAATAACTCTGAGTCAGGGGCAAGAATGCCAGTTTGGACTAAAGCCAGTCTGGACACTGAACTGGAAAATATACTTGGGGAGATGACCGAGCCCTTTGGCTTTTGCAGGGTAAGGATATTCTCCCAAGGTTGTTTTGGGCACTGGCATCTTGTTTTTGCAAATCAAGCTCATGTCGTGCCAAGAAGTTCTCAGATTTTCTCAATGTACTCAGGAACAAATCAGAGTGCAGCTTAAGGGTCTTGCACTTCTCATCATATTCTTATTGAAACAAATTTAATGACGTTTTAGTACCACAATGATGGTTTCTAAGGGCAAAATATGTTCTCTGAAGTCTGTATTAGGCTTCTGATAGGATATCTTAAAACATATAACTGAAGCTGCAAGAGATTCAAGAATAACAGAGTTTTTATGAGCGGTTTTGATGTAAAATGCTGTGTAGGTAAATACATTCACAATCTTAGTGCTAAGTTCAGCATCTGTAAAAGGTGAAACAATTGTTTTGCTTTTCAGGTTGGGTTCTTTGGCCTTGATTTATGTTGGTGCCTTCTGCCTGACCATCAGTGTTGCCTTGCTAACGGGTCTTATTACAGGTCAGTATTGAAAAACGTGTTTCTGTAGTATCGTCCTCCTTTCCTCAGGGCAAGGGGTACATCACCATATTGCGCCTGCTAGCGTGGCAGTGCAACCCTTTGCAGAAAGCCGGTTTAACTGGGGCTCTAGGGTGTGTTCCTACGGGTAAACGTAGAAGAAGCCATGGGAAACATGGATGCCAGGGATTCTCCAAAGCCACTCTTTAGAAGAAGAGGTTTATTGAACATCAAGGACCTGGTAGCACCATTCTTTCATTGGTGAAGTTTATTCAAACAGAGGCTTAACAACTGCCTTCAAATTTCAGACAGGAGATGTGTGAGGATGAAAATATTTTTACGTTTAGGTATTGTCTTAGTGACAGAAAAATGCTCTCTAGAGCTTCTCGCTGTTTAGGCCAGCTGGTATAAATCTGCAAAGTCTCACTAATGTTGGCAGCAAGCGAGCATCAGCCAAGCGCTGGGCCTCTGAGCAGGAGCGGTTTGGGATCATCGGGGCGCACGAGTTTCTCATGTGACATTCTCTGTGGTTTATGGTGGCTCTGGTTTTTTTATAGCTGTTAATTTTGTCTTGAATAAAACTGAAATGGCGGCTGAAAATTGCTGTGAAATATACCCTAAAATTATTATTTTTGTGCTTTAACTGATCCGAAACATTTGCATTGACTTAAGTGTAATTAAGAAGTTGAGGTAATGAAGCAGATTTTTAAAAAAACATTCTAAAATAATCAAACATTCAAAGTTTAACCAATTGTTTAAAAATCTAGATGCTTCCATCTGAAATCCCAAGCCAGCAGTGCTGATAAGCTGGATTGCTTTAAATACACAGGCATTTTTCATGCAAGAAATTAATAATGTTTGATGTCTTCTAGAATCTGGCAGGCTGTTTACGTAGAGTAATTAATGTTTAATGACATGAGCCTTGAGCCTGGCAAGCTTCTCTCTTTGTATTTGAGGTCAACTTGAGTCAAATGCTGAAGCATTTTGTTCTGAATCTGTATTTGGGTCTATGTTCCCTTTGGATGTGTGTTACTAGGAAACCTCCAGTTACGCACAACCTTCCCCCTTCCCTGATGAATATATTTATATTGAATATATGTGTTTTTACAAATAGGTTTAATCTTAAACCTCAAACTGTTTAAGACCACCACTGTATCAAAGTACTTCGACGATCAGTTTTACTGGGAGGTAAGTTTCAATGTGAAGTTAACTGCACAGGAGTACATGTAGCACCTTGATGAAGAACTCTATGTATTTGAATTAAAAAACCCAAAAGGGTGGGGGGATAATTCCATTTCACAGAATGTTTTGGGTGCTCCGTTTGGAATGGATGAACTGTTCCCACAGTTGGTTCAGAACCTGAACCTGATAAATGCGTGTAGTGTTCAGCTGGGGTTGTCAGAGCTGTCGGTGGGCTCAGGGCTAAACCTGGAATCGTAGAATCATAGAATTGTTTAGGTTGGAAAAGACCTTTAAGATCAAGTCCCACTGTTACCCTAACCCTGCCATTAATGATGGTGAAGGCGATGATATTGTAAGGCGCAACCATAGGGGCTCAGACATCCTCTGGGACTGGCAGCCCTGGCCTCTCTGCTCCATATGCAGTCCCTGAGGAGATGGGAGCAGCATCCAAGAGGGGTTTTTCGAAGCCAGCGGGTGGAATGGAAGGGGCTTCTTATGGAAACGGTCCAAGCCTCCTGGCCTTCATGGCTGTGGAGCAGCTGACTGCTCTGATGCACCAGGATAGGCTTGGGCACCTCTGGGTGCCGAATGCGGTGCCTGTATCTGAATTACAGAAAAAAGAAATGGATGAAAATAAGCTCCTAATGAGGTTTTCCATTGCCTTCTTCATATGATGATTTGATGCATAAAATGTTCTGATGCAAAAACGTTTGTCTTCACAGTTTCCCCATCTGGCTGTTGGATTTTGAGTGGAGGATTTGACCAAGATAAGCTTTCCCTGTTTGTCGCTAGAGAAAATGAGTAGCTACGATGGGCTGAGAGAGCTCTGAAGTGTCAATTCTCAGGCTTGAAAAAAGCCATCCCAATGGACACAAAAAATTAGTAGTAAAGTAATAGTAATTGTTGAAAGATACAGGGTGTAAATTTACAGATGCAAACTTACAGCGCGTTTCACTTCTCTGCTTTGTTGGTGTTACCTTCAATTTTTTTTTTTTTTAAGGATGCGTACAAAAAAGTTGGCTGCGTTCATTGCTGTACTGGCTTATCCATCAAAATGCTTGGAAACTTTAAACTATTTTTAGCTTCCAAGTTTAAAAGCCAAAATATGTATTTTAAAGTATCATTTTTCAAGGAGTACATACTCACTCTTACCTAGCCAAGCGTTAAAGCACTTGTTTTTAAGCTAAATTAATTCTGTTGAAGGCCTTGTTAAGCAAGGATTTGATGAGCGAGCTGGATCAGGGCCGGAACTCTGCATCTTGCCAGACTGAGCTCTTCTGAGTTATCTGACTGCTTAAAGAAAAATCTATACTTCCTGGGCTCCGGCCAGCTGTTTGGAAGTCCAGTTGGCAAGAAGTTAAATTGTTCTGCTTCTGGGTGGTGCCCCGGAGATCAATGGCATTTACTTGTATTTGAGTGGGCAGCAAATCTCGGAACAGCCTGGCTGTGCCGTGGCGGAAGGCACCAAAAGGCTCTGGCTGCCCTAAGGGTGCCGACAACTGGGGAGGCTGGGGAACAGCCTTCGGCACTCGCGGGGAAGAGCCCATTTCTGAAGCGCCTTACGTGAAGCTGTTGTACGCTCAGATGAGCAGGGGCTTTGGTGCCTGCGCTAGGGCCCGGTCAGGCAGAGGATTCTGTGCAAGCAAACCCTTGTTTTTAAATGGATTGTGATCCTCAGTGTGTCTTCTTTGTTTCAAACTAATTGACATAAAAAAACCTCTTTCCAAAATGCTTCCCTAATAAAAAAAGTCAAAATGTGATTGTTCTTATTTATTCAGCACGCTTAAAAAATGAAGTAATGAGGAAAAATGTAACCTTGAAGACAAAGCACGAGTTCTTCGACGCAGTATTGTGCGCTGACCTCAGTTCGGTCATCAGGCATTAAGCGAAGTGGATCACCGCAGTTAAAGAAGTGTGAGATGGGTTTCAAGTAATGAAATGTTACGTGCGGAGGAAGGGCCAGTTTGTCTTTATTTCCAGGCCACGGAAGAGCCAGTGATCCGCTGAGTTTTTCAGCTGCCCACAGCTTCTGCCGGCTGATGGCAACACTGGGCCTGCACGCAGGCTTACACATTTGCGTTACCTCACGCTTAACGCGCTACTCCCTGGGCAGTAGCGTACTCCAGGCTCAGCTCCTGTGCTTCACTGGCTTAACGTGCCAGCCACCAACCCAGCCTAACTTCTGCAGCGCCAACAGCTTCTGCTGTTTTCTAGCAGGAGCGCTTTTTAAGGAACAGGATTTTATTCCCTCTCTTTGCCCCACATGTCTTTTATAACTGACTTCCTGAGCACCCAGCCTCAGTGAACGTATAGAAAGGAGCGGAGAGAGGAAGAGCTCCCTCACCTTTCCAGTGAGTACGCTACAGGACCCAAATTCCCTCCCTGGTCTGAGGAGTACCCTCCTGGAGACACAGCTCTGGCGTGAAGAGCTCTCTTGGCTTGTTTTACAGCGCTTAGAACATAGCTTACAGCGAGCCTGGCGGATGAGCTACTTCCACCTAGAGCCCCGATGCAATTTGTACTTGTGCCTCTACGACGTCACAGCAACAGTAAGTTGTTACTCACCAGAGATTACCTCCTTATCGCCATAGGATAAATTAAATATTTTTTTGGGGGGAGGGGGGAATCCTAAAGCAGCATAGTGCTGTATTATGCAAGAAAAGCCACACACCAGTTAAGTTTTGAAATTGAAGGAATGGTTATATTGTCCAGATATAGGAAATACTTAATAAATATATGTTAAAAAGTTGTTTTAAAGCAGTTTTAGTACGTCTCGGATTGTAAATAACTTCATAGAAACAGCTGGTTAAATACATCCATCTTCCACTATACTGCTTACCTGTAGCAGACACCCTATTGTAAAAGTGACTTCCGTTGTTACGCGTAGCGATTTTACATTTCTCAAAACCAGTACAACATTTAAATCAACATACGAGAGTAAAAAAATGAAACAGAATAGAACCAGAATTTTTAGTCCTATGATTGAAGTTTGCCTTGGTTTAGCGTTAGACACAATTGAAGGTCACCCTTTACAAAACGGTTTTACAAAATTTTGGGAGTGTGCAGTTAAAAAACCAGCACGGCCAATGCACTTCCACGGGCGTGTTCACTGCCACAAATCTTCCGTGCGACCAAATTTGAAGACCAGTCCTCTGTTTAAAACAGAATAAAGGGATGTGAGTACGTAAGGAGCAAATCACATACCTGGTGTTTTAAATACATGATTTCAGGGAGAAAACTGTAGTGTTTGTAAATCCAGCTCCTGGTCCCACACCTGCGCAGCCAGATCCCAGAAATCCGCTACCTTTACCAGCACTTTATTCACCCCTGTCTAGTTACAAAACAGGGCTTAAGAAAAAACAGATTACAGCAAGTTTCAGTTTAAATCATTATAAGCAAATTAGATAAGGAATGAACGAAGGAGGACAGTCTTACCCAAAAAAGATGAAGGCGTTCTGGAAAAACACAGCTATTCCTGGGTACACTACTGTTTTTTCTGACAAAAGAAAAAAAATCTCCATCAATTTTTTGGCAGCCATTGTCAAGAATATCCCACCCCTGACATTTCGGAAACGCTAAGCTGCGCCGTGATAGCAAAGATCGCCAGTTTCATTTGAATACGAACATTCGGAGCCTCTGCACTGTGAAGCAGCGGTAAGGAGCTGAGTTAGGCAGAGGGGTCCCTCGCAGCACAAGATTCCCGACTCGATACCGGGGAGAGGCAACAACAAACTCTCAGTGCTGTTGCTACCACGTAACAAATCTGCCTGAGCCAGACTGTTCTCGCCTGGAATTGAGGCAGCACTGTGCAGCTCACAGACCCCTTCCTTCTCCAACACGGGGGGTCCCCTCCGATCTCTGTTGCTCAGCTGTGGGGTGCACAAGACAAGGATCAGCCTCACCCCACTGGGAAGTAAATTCAGTGGCTTTTATCCCCCCCCAAACCATTCAATTTCCAAATAAAAGCCTCTCCTGTTCTCTAACCAAAACCGCGCCTCTCACATGCAATGCCTGTGAAGACTGTACCCACCACGTGGGGTTGCACATCCTGTTTGGAACATGTGTGTGAGTACATCTACGCAGACAGTTAAATATAACGACAATATACAAAACGGGAGGGCAGGTTAGTAGCACTACCATGCAACCAATGCACCCAGGCTTCCCTGAAACCCCCTGTGAACTGAGTAAGGTCAAAGCTGACGAGAACGCGAACTAAACAAAAGCACCACTGTGCCTTGACCAGTCGGGAATTCGCTCCAGGTACAAGTACACTTACACTTCCATCTTTACACTTACTTGGGTGACCTAACTTCCTTTTGAAAAACAAAGACTAATACGCTGCGGTTTTCACGTCTTTCTCAAGACTTGCCTCCACACAAAGTTACTCTGGTACATGCTAAAGTATCAATTTAAATAGGCAATTTGAGGGTTTTTTTTTTTATTCCCTTTTGCTAATTTAGCATTTAGGCTTTGGGAGCAATTTGCACAAAATCAGTAATTTTTATTCTGGGAATAAGTGTTCACCCAGGGGATTATTCCTGTATAACTGCAGCAGTTTAATTCGATCAGTACAGTCCCCAGTTGACCAAAAGCTGTGTTTCTAGTGGGGCTAGTTTGAAGTTTGTGATAATGGATAAAATCCACCCCAATACTAGTAGATGGGATAGAATAGTTGTGCATAAGGAACAAAAATATTAAAACGGGGCCTGCCTAGAAACTGTCTAAAAATAATTCTTGAAATTCAATAGTCATTTAAAACACTTCAAACTTTCAAAAATGCTTCAGGTCACATTCCACGCTGTATCTTACCTTTAACAACGTAGCCTCCAAAAAGGATCCACATGGAAGCAATCAGAGATCCAAAAGCCATCATAAAACCGATGAACAGCCAGATCCGAGCACCTTGAAAAAGACATAGGGATGTTCTGTGCCTGTGTCACAGACACCTGTGCCTTTCAGCACGCTCGTGTTTCAGAGCGCCTTCTGCCACGCACCAGAGCTACACACAGACACACAACGTGCACGCTGGTACAGCTCTTGCAACTCTTCCGAGACTTAAAGGCTTCACAGATCTATCGCTAGACAACAGCCGACACCACCGTACCTGTTTGTCCCAGACAGCCTTCACTGTAACTGTCACCCCGCACTTGTCCATTAGACACCGCGTTGATCCTGTACAAGCAAAACAAGATAAAACTGGGTAACCATAGGTGAAGCAAGAAGTAACTGTTTACAAAACAGTAGGAGAAATTTCTCAGAAACCTATATAAAAAGGATGATGTTGTGGGGTTTGGTATTTATTTTTTTTTTCAAAGAGGGACAAGGCTAAAACTCATGAAGCATTTCTCTGAGGGCTAGTAAGACTTGGACTCGTATTACACACTTCATTTTTTTTGATGGTTCCTTACTATACATATCAACAACTATAAGAAAGATATCAGAGATACTCAACGAGTCACTTAAATAGCTATTCTTATTTATCTCTCCATTTAAAGACTATGTATTCTTTTACTAATTGCACAAAATAAGTTCTAGGAGCGCGTAGCTCCGCCCAAGAAATTACACTTACATTAGGAATGCAATAGTGGCTATAACCCCACAAGCATGGTACGAATGGTTGAAATCTTCCACCTTAGGGTATTTTACAGCTGCATCTATGATTATCCACCAACCTGTAAAAAACTATTAAAAAAAAAAAGCACAATAGCTTAAGATACAGACTCAATACTTTTAACAACATATAAGATTACTCTAGAAAAAGGAACGTTAATATATAAAATCATTTTTAGAGTCTCCAACCCAGAGTCAACTGAGAGCACAATGAGTTTTGCTATCAACTTAGGAATAAGGTTAAATGCAAAGCCAGAGATTTACCAACTCCTAATAGTTATTACATGGGTACAGCTGGGAAACTTAAGCAAGCACCCAGAACAGATTTTATCGTTAACTCTGCTGCTACATCCAAAGACAACGCATCCCTGCTCTTATTTTTACTTCCAAACCTAGTAATTTTTAGCTCATCAACAGCTGACTACATCTACAAAGCCCGAAAGTAGCATAAGGGAAGCTGTACGTACCAGCACTCCGGCAGCAACAGAAGCGATCGTGTTTCGTTTCTCTCCCCAGTCAACACACTCCGAGCACCTCAAGTTCTCAAGAAAACCTGACATTTTTCAGCGCTCTGAAGAACTGGAGAAGAAAAAGAGACATTTCTTTTAAAGCGGAAACCCATCACGCATCAAGGGCCGGCATGCAGCAACGCGCAGCCTGCAAGGCAGGTAAAACTGCTACGGGCTACCTCAAGATCCCAGAGTCAGGGCCCCCGTCCCGAGGGACGACTGAGCAGAGCAGCTGACAGAGCACAGCCTCCAGCACCCACCCGGGGAAACCACCGGAGAGGCGACGGCCTCAGAGCTGA